AAAGTACTGGGATTTCTATTGTTACTTCCCATAATTTACAGAACAATTACATAATTACAGTTGTGTTAATGATTGCTGACATGATGATGTGTTTCCCGATACACAACATCCCTGACATTGAAAAAGGAAAAAGTGCTTGAATAAACAAGATTCCAGTTTTTGAAATCCAGTAGTGTACAGCTGATGAATATTCAATTGGGTTGTGTTGCTAAAAGTCGAACTGGCGTCCTTGGACCGTCACTGGGCTGTCATTGTAGTCCATGATCGCTGCCCATTTTTTTAGGAGGATTTAACCCTTTTTTTTCCACCACTGAATAAAAAGTCTTGCGCTTCACCTGCATTTTCTGTGCTCAGACTCTGGATCGGATCTGCCGCTGTGACCCAGCCCTGAATAAAGAGCTAAAAGAGGTTTGAAACAGTCCTAAAATAAGACTGAACTGAGAGAAACACATGATTTAATGACAAATGGATAGTTCATTTGTGACATTATAATTGAAAGACCAATGGCTTTACATCGTGTAGTACAGGGGTGCTCACACTTTTTCAGCATGCGAGCTACTTATAAAAGGATCAAGTCAAAATGATCTACCTACTACAAAAATGCAAATCATATATTTCAAAAAATATTCTTTATATCTACATTTATGTTTATGTACATGCAAAACCGCATGAGCCAATATAGCACAACACAACTACCTATGTAAATGTTTTGTCATTACCCGAGTTTACTCTTATGACTTGCACTGAATTGAATCGGCCAGGGATGCGTAGTCCGGAAAATTGGCGGTAACTCGCTGACAAGTTTGTCGTGGTTTAGCTTTCCTGCACTGAGCGCGGTTGTTTGCGCATGTGCAGTCACCTAAGTGTCAGTAAAACATTACTGAGTAAAACACAGATGTCATTTGACTGTGGTGCCATGTCCATGTGCCATGCCTGTTTTTTTTTAAATCCAAATATTTCCCCTCCTCAGTTTATAAAATAATTTGCATCCACACATCTGCGTTATCAATCACATTCGTAACATTCCAAACATGTGCGTCTCTTACGTCCTGTCCTGCGTTGGGGAAAAACACAGAAGTGGGCGGAGCTTTGATGCAGACGCCGGTAACGGCACTTTTACAGTCATAGAAGACACTCAGAGTAAAGATGTATGTTTACAAGCCCTGACCCCGTCCTCAGCCCTGGTTTAGCCCTGGTTTAGTCCTGGTTTAGTCCTGGTTTAGTCCTGGTTTGGTTGTTTTCGAGCGTGAGTCCCCGCGATCACTTTGCTGCTCTCTGATGTGGAGGATGTTTGCTGCTGCGAGCATCTTACAGCAAACAGTTTTTAAGGTAGTATGATCCATGCTTCAGTGATCAGGTGAATTTAGGGGGGTACTGTGGCGTGCGAGAACGCAAAACTCCGGTTATCTCTGTCTACACACAAATGCATTAACGGAGTTTTCAAAAATCTCCACTTTGCCCGGAGTTTTTTGTATATATTAGTTTAGAATGTGTAATTTTTTATTTATTTAATGCGATCTACCAATACTACCTTTGCGATCGACTGGTAGATCGCGATCAACGTATTGAGCACCCCTGGTGTAGTAGATAGTAGTTTTTAGTGCATTATGGGGGAATGGCTACACACTTCGCCAGCTTCGACTTGCTTCAATATTCCTTGCGTCACGGATTCTTTGCCTCTGCTTCTCTGTCAATCTTATATCTTACAGGCCAGACACTTGGGACAGCATTTTGGGCTCATTCAGGACTGTGGCTTCAATACACCAGGGAACTCAAAGGTCAGGACCAGAGATGGAGGATTTTTGACAATTGTGCTATGTCTCTAGTGGTAGGGGAAACCGGAGCACCCAGAGGAAACCTATGCAGATACAAGGAGAACACGCAAGCTCCACTCGGAAATGCCCTGTTCTGACTGGGATTTGAATCCAGGACCTTCTTGCTGAGAAGCGAGAGTGTAAGTAAGTAATCTTTATTTATATAGCGCCGTTCACAGACCAGAGTCACAAGGGTAAACGTGAGAAGTCAGGTGGTCTTCGAGGATCCGTGGGGAAATGATGTAGCCTCTTGCCTTGATAGAGACCAGAAAGTGGTTGAAAGGCGTCGCTATGTCCCTTCCACAATAAAGGATTTTTAAGTTAAAGGGGTATAGGAGGATTTTCTACTTCGGGGTGGATCGTCAAGACTATTGGTCCTCCCAATTGTTGTGAAATAAGACCAGAGAGTTTTGTTCAAAAAGTGGAGAGGGCGATTCCTTAATAAAATTTGGGGAAACATTCTAATATACCTTTAAGTCAGAGTGCCTCAGACCTTTTCCTCTTTGCTTTCTACTGGAATTTGAGCTTTGTAGAAACCTGTCTCACATTTTCAGTAAGACTGTTCCATATTTCAGCTGCATAAATCTGCTCTAAATAAGAAACATAGCCTGAACCCGGACGATTACAGTAGATGCAGTAAATCTCTCTCGGGAAGGTATTGTTTTCGTGTTACTCTGAAAAGCTCCTCATTCATTTTGCCCTTAATAACTTATTTGATTAATTCTCCCGCTTCTGCTGCTGCTCTTCACCGCCTCCTTCAGACAAAGCTCTATTCAAACTGTGCTCCGACTCGTCAACAGCCTGACGGTCACATCGCAGTCTTAACAAAACATTTTAAATCTGCCAAATGAAGCTGAATAAATGACTAGTCTCACACGGAAACATTTGACTTTGAGGTAAATGGTGTTAGAACAGTCACTCAGACAAGCAGCCAAACGGAAAAGAAAGTTTCTACTTTTAGACACGAGATAAATGGACCAGAGGAAAAAGTCCTAATATAAATTAAATTAAAGTTTAATAATATCTAAATATCATTAGTACAGTGCAGCTGTGGCCTCTACTGTTTCTCTAGATAAACTACATATACTAAATGTATAATGATAATAGAACTAATAATGTATTCATTTTATATAGTGTTTTTCTGGACACACATAGACGCGTCACAAGTCATTATTCATTCACTTCATACACAGTGGTGATAAACTACTGCTGGAGCCACAGCTGCCCTGAGGCACACTGACTTATATATATATATATATATATATATATATCTGCAACAACATGATCAATGTAAGGAATCTCTAGTAAAACCGGTTTTCAAAATTGTCTTTTTTGCTGCTCTAGCTGTACATACAACCAAATGATTGTATCTTCACTCTTTTTAATGTACTGTGAATATTTATGATTTTATATGCATATGTTTTTCTAAGCACTTTGTGTTGCCTTGTTTATGAAGATTGTAAAATTGTAAATATTAACGGATGTAGTCACGCCTATCTCCGCTGTTGAAACTAACGTGCCACCGTTTTTACTTTCTGTGGGCTTTCAAAATGGCCACAGGGGCAGGAAAATGTGAAAAAAACGCTTTTGCGACAAGTGTATTGTAAAGTCCATAGCAGCTAAACTAGACTGGTCCCAAAAAAAGTACTCCCCTCAGCATTGACACACATGTGGAACGTAGCGTTGTGTGAGCCGCATTTCGGACCTTCCTGTGAAGACGTTTTCCAGAGGAAAGAAGACGCCATACAAAAGCATTTGGTAAGTCTTATTCCAGGTACACCCCCACCGGCCCGGAGTGAGACATGTGCAACATGTCAGCGCACATGCTTATGGACCTTTTAGAGCTGGGACCCGCCCCAACTGGTTTGAATATGCTATACAAATAAACTTGAGAGCAAGAAAGATTTTATGAAAATGTTATATTTTTAGTCCTTTCAAAGTGAGGTACCACAGCTTTAAGATATTCCTGTTTAAATATGGTTGGAGCAGGAAAATGCGTCAATATTTTCTGCTATTATTTAAATGGATATTTACTGGAATAACATTGTGATTGTGTTTTGGGGCATTCAGTCATTGCTAATATTCTTGTATAATGCTGTTAGCTATTGTGTAAAGACGTTTGAGGTCTGCAGATTCACGGTGCCCATTCACTTTTATGGTTTCAGTCATTCCATTACACTTTGGATTATGATAAATAATGACATCTGTGTGTAGCCAAAGAGCCGTTTACTCGCTATAGTCCTATTTGTCTGTAATGTGTCTTTTGCCTTTGCCCGAAGCTCTGCTATTATCACCACACATTTACTTTACTTTGTGTAGTTTTATATGTTCAGTTGTATGCTGTGTGGATTCTGGAAAGCATTTCAAGTGATATTTCAAGTTAAACACCACTTTTGTCCTCATTCCAAGTGAGAAAAAACCTTATTTTGTCTATGTTTAAATTGAAAGAAGACTCCTGCTCACCTTCCCACACATTACCTGAAGAAAGGCCACATGAACAAACTGTTGCACCATCAAAAGTAAGGATTGTGAGGATTGGCCGAGGTCTGGATTTTTCTTTCAACTTTGAATGGGCAGAAATCTTTTAATTCAATTCAATTTATTCTTGTATAGCCCTAAATCACAACAATAGTTATCACAGAGGACTTCACAAAACCATTGAAATCACCAACACAGATCAGAGAATCAATAAATCAAGAATGAAAAAAATATATAACACATATGAATTGGTCCATAAGGAGAGATCAATGCCCATGATGTTGATAAATGTCCATATATGTTATAGAATGTTAAAGTGTCCTGGATTATCACCACATCCTTTTTGTTAGATACTAATTGTCCAATAGACCCTCCTGCATCGGCAAGGAAAAACTCTGAAAAACCCAGTGAGAGAAAAGTGAGAAATCTCTGGGAGCTCCACTTTGAGAGAGGGATCGGCTCCTACACGGGCTATAGATCCAGGACCTACAGTAAGCTACAGAACGAGGACTAGAGCCACTTATTGTTAGTGATAGGGTAAACGAGCATCTGGAGGAAACCTACACGGTCACAGGGAGAACGAGCAAACTCCACGCAAAAGGCTTAAAGAACCCTGTGCTTCCCTGCTTTGACCTCCTCATGGACAACCGTGGTGATAAAGTCTATCTTATCTTACTGTGTCTGGTGCGACCTTGATCTCGGTCCTACCTCCCTCGTACTCCGGACAGTTCCCCGTCTCGTTGAGGCTCTCCTCTTCTGTGATGATGATGTTCTCGATGTCCTTCATGGTCAGGTGATCTCTGAAGGCGTGAAACAAAACCTGCTTCAGCTCGTCCAGAGACAGCTGCTGCATGTCGAACTGCGGAGGCGAAACAAAACACACGCGGTCAGAGGCTAATGTTAGCGCTACGAGACGGGAGACATCGCGTCGTCAAGGTTACAGACATCTAGGGTTTGTTGTTGTTCGACATTTCCTGTGTTTTCATGCCCTGGTGGGATTAGTAAAGTTGGCAAGGAAAGGCAAGTTTATTTGTTTAGCACAGTTCAGACACAAAGCATCTTGAGGCCTAAAAACCTTCCTTTTTACTCAGGCCTACTAGGGATTGTGTGAGCTTTTAACCCTTCATGTTTCTTTTTGATATTTTATGAACTTCTGATGTTTTTGCTTTGTTTGTTTAGTTTTTTAGTTTGTGATATTGTATTTTAATCTGTAGTACTTTGAGGTTTCCTGGAAATGTCAGGTGCAACATGAATAAAATGTATTATTATCAATCATTATTATTAACTCAAAGTGCTTAACAAAACCAGATCAAAACAAACAATGAAGCTATAATCCTTCAGTTGTAAACAGAAATGTTTAAACCTGGATTTTAACATAGTCAAAGAAGAAGCCTGTCTCATATTTTCAGGAAGACTGTTCCAGATCTTAGCTGCATAAATCTGAAACTCTGCCTCCCCATGTTTAGTCCTGACTCTCTCCTCAAAGTCTAAGCATGTAGGCCAGTCCCTGTGCTCCTCAGAGTCCCAGTAGGAGGTCAGTCCCTGTGCTCCTCACAGTCCCAGCAGGGGGTCAGTCCCTGTGCTCCTCAGGGTCCCAGTTGGTTCATATGGCACTAAGTTGTCACAAATATGAGCCACAGGAAGCCACTGCAGAGACCTGAGAACTGGACTAATGTGGTCGTACTTCCTGGTTCTAGTCATTGAAAATATAGGTACTCTGACCAACCATTCACACACACACCAAACGCATTCTAGGCAATCTATCACACAATAAAGCAAATTAAACTGAACAAAAAACATGTATCCAGGTTTTAATTTGATGAGGTTAGCTTGTACTGTGTCTTGTATGTTCAGAACACTTCAAATCCAACTGAGTGTTTTTTACTTGATGACGAGAGCACAGTCCCTTTGCTTCCTCATTCCCGATAGAACCTGCTCCCTGGTCTTTTTCACAGAACAGCATGTGTGAAAGTGGGTCTATAGCATTTGTGGGTGAAGCAGACGCAGAGACAGTCTGTGCTCAGATGGTGTCACATTTATTTGAGGCACATACATTATTATACTCTTATCACCGTGGAGTAATATTTATTTTGGCGACTTGTGGCAGATTTTAAATTGAAGGCTGGACCCAATTTTTTTCCTTAGGGACATTTATGAACATTTATGAACATTTATGGTCCTTGGTCATCCCACTCCCTATGAGCCAATGGCTTCTATGTGTTTGCTTGTATTAGCTTGATTGTATTTATTTGCTCGAACTGTATTTTTTAAAGTAGCAATATGTAAGATTTTCATGTCAAGTCATTATTAAAGGGCCCTAATCTGTCAAAAGGCATTAATAAAACATGCTCTTTTCCAATACTTCTTTAACTGATGACAGTAGTTCAGAGATGTTGGATTTTCAAAATGAGTTTTACAGCTCCTAAATCGTGTTGTTGTTTTCATTTCTATGTCCCGCCCTCCACCGTTTAACCAATCAGAAAGTCCATGATCTGGGTTGCCAGAACTCGAGACGTCGAGCTAATCTCACTGGTAAAGCACCATGTGGCCCCAGAACAAAAAAAGGTCTCGTTATGATTCTCAAATCATTAACAACAAAACAAGGAATAAAACCAGGATTTCTATCTTTGTGAAAGAAATGTTGGTTTTAGATTTATTCAGTTATTATTATAATGGTCCCAGCTGGATTTGTCTGCGTATCTGACAACCTGAGTCAGGGAGAGTGCAGTACCACTTTTGGCCACATTATTACATACTGCTCCTTTAATCTGTTTTTGAGGAATTGGCAACTTTGACTGCTGTTATGATTTAGAGCTGTGCAAAAGTGTTACGGAATAGATTTATAAATGGTAGAGGGACGTGTTGATCCAAGCTAAAAAAAAACAATAAATAACAATGTTGAAAAAGCTCAATTAACATAACATTTCATGGCACGGATCTCTTTTCTTCCTAATTAAAATCTTCCAAACACACAGCGACAGAATAAACATGTACAAGACAGCTGTAATGGATTTAACGGAGGCGACTAAACGCAGCGATATCAGCGTGCGTGTGTTTGCATATGCATCAGCGCTGCTATTTTTGGAGCTGGAATCAGTATGCCAGTCTGCTCCCTGGATATAGCCCCTTAAATGTATGCATGAACAATGTGGGGGCCCGCGAACGGTCTGAACGCTCGTCGTCACGTAGATTGTATTCGGACGTTACGTGAATGTTTTAATGATTTATGAAGCTTGGAGCAATCTGCAGATGTGCCAACTCTGCCCTGCCTTTGTGCCCTTCTCCACGAATCCACTTTGGGACGACCCTCCAAGATGAATTGACTTTGTCCAAGGTCCGTCCCGCTGTAGATGACCTTAGATGCTGATGTCATCCATGATTAGATAGGTGACCACGTACAGCAAATATGCAAATGAAAAGACAGGAGTTGCTTGCAATTTCTGATTACACGGGTGTCAAACTGGTTTCAGAAAGGGCTGGTGTGTTTACAGGTATTAATTAAATTCAAACCAAGCAAGACAAACACCTAGCCTGGTCTTACCGCAACACTGTACTAATTTAATTTCGTACTAAGGTCTGGATTTGCTCCATTGAGCTCCGTTAACAGGTGGGAGGGGTAAACTTCTTTTGCAGTTTGAAACTAAACAATGTAATGCAGAGTGAGTTGCTAGCATTTAGCCTAGCTTTAGCATTTAGCCTAGCTTTAGCCATCTCCTTTGCCACTAGATTTTTTAGATTTATTTTTAGATTTATTTATTTGAAAAGGGACAGTGCACATTAATCAACATTTTACAATGGAGCCCGTGGCGAGTCGAGCCACAACCTCTTTGTCAGCAGTGACATTTGTTGAATATTTATCTTAGTCCGGCTTCAATATCTTGATATTTGGAGCGGAACCAGAACAGATTGAAGAGCTTCCTTTACTATCGTATTCATCGCAGTTTTCATGACGCAAACTTTAGACGTCGCAACACCGACCTACAACACCCGCCTCCCTCGCTCGCTGATTGGTCAGAGGGGATTCAACCGAGGAAACTGCAGCCACTAGGACCAGACCCAGACGTACTGTACATGTAGGAAATGATCATGGACCAGAGTTTCTTGACAGTTCTTGAACTGGGACTTTTTGTGTCCTATTGGCAAATCTTGTTTTAACACAGTCAGAATGTTTTCAAATTACCACTAAATTCAAGCAATTATTACCTCATATTTGGCCTGTCAAAACCATGTGGGTCACCTTCAGTATACTCATTCCCCCACACCTGTCCCATCTATTTACATGAGTACTTTGTCCCGCACACTTAAGCCCTAAACAAGTATTATTAAGCACAAAGAGCCACTCTTGAGTCTGAACTTAATGTGCTGTGTACATGTTTGGAAAAGGGGTTAGATGATAAACTTCCAATCCCCATCAATAATGTCAACACAATTTAAAAGAAAACCATTCAGAATAAAACCTTTGTCTTATTAACCTGTTCCTCGGTAAAGCCTCTTTAGAGTCCAAAATAGCGCTATGACTATTATCATTATTAGACCAAAAAAATAGAAAAGTTACATAAACACACACACACACACACACGCACGCACGCACGCACGCACGCACACTCACACGCACATTTCAAATATTGATTGTAAATGCTAGAACTCATTTGAGGCTTTTAGATATTTAAATACAAACTAAATTATGGCTCTAACCGACTGGAGTCACTTATTAAAAACCTGAGCCCTGGTTTAAAACATGGTCAAGGAGAATCCCACTGCTGTAGCTGCCAATATTTCCCCTTTTAGATTCATCCATATCCTCCACAGTAAGTCTTTTAGTGCCGCCTTTTCCTGATGGAGAGAAAGATTACTTTGGTTGCCAGATTGTGAGCAGCTGGACCGGAGACTCGACAAATAATGTCCTTCACAGAGCATCGCTGTGACGCCAGCTTTTGAAGGACACTCGAACCAACTCACAGGGACTGGCCTCCTGCTTTGACTCTGAGGAGCACAGGGACTGGCCTCCTGCTGTGACTCTGAGGAGCACAGGGACTGGCCTCCTGCTGTGACTCTGAGGAGCACAGGGACTGGCCTCATGCTAGGACTCTGAGGAGCACAGGGACTGGCCTCCTGCTGAATCCCACAGTCAGCTACACTGCAAAAAGTGATGAAAAATAAGTCAAAAATTGCTCAAATTTGGCAATATACTGTATGGTATCTCATTTTAAGCACATTCTGACTGCTTTAAAACAATATTTGCCAATGGAACAAAGCAAAATTATCTAATTTTAAAAAGATACAAGAAATGTCTCCCTTTTAATGAGAAAATAAAGCAACAGTTCTGGAAATAAGACTAAATGGCTTTATCCCATTGTAAATTCTTGTAACTCAAAGTCAAGATGTGCTCAAATAAAGATAAAAACTTGATTCAAGCGTTTATTTCCTCATATTTGATCTTTTTTTTTCAGTGTAAATATTTGTGCCATAAATTCCTAATACTAGTGGCTTTAAAGCCCTAGTGCTTTAAAGCCCTGCATTAGGACTGTGGCTGCCCTAAAATCCCTTACCCTGATCATATATGTTTGTATGTTGTGTTTGTGATTGTGATGTGGTGTTTTGTATTCTATGGACTTCAAGTCTGATAAATAAAGATAATAATAATAATAATAATAGTTTTTGACTCGCAATCAACCTGCAACGTACTCGGCCTTATACTCAACAGACGGGCGAGTTCTGAGCAAGGAAAGGACTTGATGGAGAGAAAAACAATATATGTGGGAAAGACAATTGGGCCTCATTCACGAACGGTTCTTAGGAACAGATTTGTACGTAAATCCTACTTACGCGGTTTTTACGAAGAAAGTGGCATTC